CACCTCGTTGACTACTGTCAGGAAGATTAGGTTATCTCTAAAGGTCGTATAATAGGTGAAAAGCGTTGAGGAATTAACGCGGAATTCAGATTAGGGGCTTGAAATTTTTTTTGTTTGGTTCGAGCAGGCATGGTTGCGCAGTGCCCTGGAACATTCAGTATTTTATTACTGCTAGGACGTTATCACATCTTAATAGCTCAAGCCCTTCCAAGTTCCTCCTTAGTTCGTCAACTCTGCTCTCCGATCTATTATTTGATTGAACAAAGCTACTAATCTGCACCCTCTTTCCCACCTATTTGATCGCTTTGGTGCATTGTCTTCAAGACATTAGCATAGTCATGGTGTGACTAGTTTACTTTAATGAGCTAGGTCTGGTTCAACTAGAATGCCAAACATGTTAAATGTTACTAATAAGTTGAACTACGTTTGATCCAATTTTTTAACATTATTTTTGCTCAACCTTGCGCAATTGGTTAGAGTGTCAAAAAAAGTATCTTTGAAAATTGTCCACTTCAATCTAGTACAATTATTTGCATCGAATTTGTTCGAATTCAGCCTCCAATTTATTGGTAAGTTCATGCGATTGAAGACAAGCATGTCTCGAAACACTTTAATCAAGCTATTTTTTTGGTTTTTCGCAACGGGGTGAGCTGTAAAAATAGTTGGATTAACTACTCAGCTCCTAGCAATCAAAGCTTAATAACTACTAGGTCAATGTTTAGTAGAATCTCAGGTGAATTAAGGCTTTTGTAGTCAGAGAAGGCAAAAACTACCAGTCCTCTCTGGAACATGGCTCCCTTTTTCTACTACCAAAAAAGAAAGGCTAGGGTGAGTAATTTTAATCATTTCCCTCTGTTTGGAACGACTCGATGATCTACGTGTTTGCTTGACAAATGGTAGAGTTATAACGTCATCCAACTCTTCTTGCCTTTGCTTTATTAGTAATCGCATCGTCTGAATCCCCCGCAAGTTACAACAAATCCCTTCAAAAAGTGCCACCAACATGACGCTGTGCACTAAGGAAAATAATAAATTCCAATAAAGCATTTGTGGACGACGCATAAACGACGTTCTCGCTTGACAATGCAGAATAAGTAGTACAGCTAAGTTCTTGGGCGCTTATGTCATGCAGTCTATTCCTACTACTGTGTTATGCTCAAGTGTCACAAAAATGCAGTATTCACTGAAGAAGATTCCCACCTTTAATAGATGTATATGTTCCTGTGAAGTTGACTAAACAATCACTAACAACTGTTGCAATTAGCCACCCGCAGATCCACCAAACATCAAATTCACGACTTCTGATGACTGGTTTGACTTCGGAGATGTGCGGACTCGAAACGGGACTCAAAGTCGAAAGGTGGATGTTTCTCAGCCCTTTTCCTCTCTACCACCACCACCACCATTAATACCACAGGAACCACAACAACAAGCTGGTTTCGGCGAGAAAAGGCGGCACTTATTCACCGTTCATTCGGGTAGTAATTGATTCGTTTATGGCTCCCTTTTTATTCGGGCACTGCTTTGTAAAGTCATGGAGCTCCTCTGGTTAATGATACAGTTTCGATGTCATTCCTACCCACCTCTGCATTTACTACATTTGTTTAATTGCCAATAAAAGCATGTCAGGCCTTCGGGCCATGCTCAGACTCAGTTGCTTTGCTCGGGGCGCTGCAGTGGTTGTTTTAGTTTCTCGCGCTGATGTTCGTTTGATCCTTGAAATTCAAGTTAGTGCTAAGGGGCATTTGTTCTGAGGTCAGTTGTCTCTGAGGCTAGTTGCGTTTCCTTAGTGGGGAGGTACGAATTAGTAACGCTTTATGCTAGTGTTCCGTACGTCGAATAGCCAAGTTTTGATTAACCAGAGCACCGTTTTCGGTAGCTTCATTTTAGACCTTAAAGGTTAGTATTTTTATATCTACACCTTATTTTAGTTTCTTATTTTAAGAGGCGCGCCGCTCGAGTCAGCAACGGCTGCTTCACACTGAGTTTGGGAGTAGCGGTACCGTTATTTCTTCGTGTGGGTCCTGCTTACAACAAAGTATTCAGTTAGTTCAAATTGCTCGCTGTATTGCTGAATATCTTCCATTTTTTGTTAGCCATATTTGATCAACTCCTATTCTAAGATTATAGGATATGCCTTTCATTAGGACTTGTGGTAAAGTCTGCAGACCAGCATATTTTGAAATGTCGTCAGATTGGGGTCGTGATGATGCTGCCGAAGATGAATCTCTTCCCTCTCCAGAGCTAAGGTCCCCATCAAGCTCTAAGCTTATACCCAGACGCAAAAAGAGTCGAGACGTGGAGGTATCCAATTATTCTTTCTCAGGTTTCTCTGATGTTCAAGAGCAGCCTATTTCGAAATCTAAGAGGAAGAAAGCTGACATAGGGGAGATTTCTACTGACAAGGCTATGCCTAAAAAGTCAAGTCGGAAGACCAAAAAGATGAACAAAAGAAATACATCGAAAGTGGTTTCAAAGGTCGAAGAGTCCCCCGCTAATAGTGAAGTCAGCGACGTGGATGGCTGGGAAGAGGTTTCTGATCCTTCTTTTGGATTAGGTCCTGAGAAAACCTCAGCTCACAGGGAAATTGAGTTCTTCAGTCAGTTGCTGCGGAGACCTGAAAATGAGGCTAGGAAGATTGAAGAGGAGGGGTGCCTAGAAGTTTCTGTTAGTACCCTTCCTCATGGGAAGTCTTCCCGGGATTCTGAGACTATCGCAACTCTTGCTTTGGCTAGGCGCATTCGGGAACGTGCTCGGAATCTTCATACATTTTACGTTATGGAGTTCCTTACCTTCGGTCGATGTGCCAATAGGGCATGCGATGATGCAACGGTGCGTGCTTTGGGTCTCTCTTTGATCGATGCACCAAAATCGTGGGATTTCGAGGCTCTTCGGTCACTTGTGCTTACCTTTGCATCCCTCAATCGTAATGGGCCCACAATAAAGAATCCTGACATTCGCGTGGCGATTCAAACACGTCTGCAGTATGAAAGTACTTCAGTCGTCGATTGTACGTTGCTGATGGTGGCCGCATTGCGAGCTTGTGGTTTTGATACTCGTCTTGTCTTAGCGTTTGCTCCGCCATCGTTGAAACCTGGTAAGAACATCACAGTCCGTAGCTTCAGAAAACTCAAGTCCCTTGGTTCCTCATCTCCGACCTCAAAAATCATTTCCTCGGAGAGCGAGGATGACAAACAAACCCTACTTCCTAGGTATTTCTTTTTCGGTGAGGTTTACCTGCCCTCGAATAAAGTCTGGCACAGTATCGATCTACTTCCGCCCACTGGACGGGTAGCAGCAGAAGCTTCTTTTCAATTAACAAACTTCCCCTATGTCGTGGGTTTTCATTCCACGGACTGTAGTTACCTTGGTCGTACTCCGACTGATTTGGCACCCCGATACGATCCCAATTGGATGTCTACATCTCGAGGACATCGCATCCCTGATACTTTATGGAAGAAGTTTCTTTCTACGTTGAGAGGCCATTGCGACGGGGATGTGACCGATTTGCGGGCGAAGGACATCGGTGGGATGGAGGAGATGCGAGATGCGGCTGATGTTGAGAAGATTTTTGACTATCTGCGTGGTCTTCCACTACCCGTGAAGGTACAGGACTTTAAAGGTCATCCTTTGTATGCACTGAGACGTCACCTTCTGAAATTTGAGGTGATTTACCCACTTGATGCTCCGGTGGTGGGGTTTCTTAAGGTCGGGAGCAAGGGGAGTGAAGCCACGGAGCCTGTTTATCCTCGAGAGTGTGTTCATATTTGTCACACTCGAGAGTCGTGGTTGAAGGAAGCAAAAGTAAGTTAGCTTTACTTAGTCTTGTTTGTGGTATTTCCATATTTAATTGTCATAGTTGTGATGCCGGGTTGTGCTCACTCAGATTCACTGCAGTTTCTCCGGTTCCATATAGCCCTTGCCATGAACTATGGTATCATTCTCCTTCACCTTGAAAGATATTTCTTTGATTCTATCTCGCCAATCTCATCTCGGAAACGTTCATTTAATCTTCGCTTTTAATCAATTTTGCGTTAATATTTATTAGCATAATCTGAATTTGGATGTGAATAGGCAGTGTCGGATGAACTTATTATAAAGTAGCCTTTACTGCGGTCTTTTATGCACCAATGCACGGGCATCAGTGCTTATTTATTCATTAATGATTATGATAGGATTCATTTTTTTAATATTTATTTTCATATCTCAGGGGAAAATTACGAGTCTCTGTATGATTTGAAATATTATTAGGGCTTTCTTTGACCTCAGTTTCGGTATATAAAAGGCTCCAAATGGAATTGAACTAGCACTGTGCTGGCAGGTTGTTTACAGTGTCTTCGTTTCTTTTGAATGCTTGTTCAACAATTTGATTGTTGTTAGTACCACTCTGCATCTTGGTTAAAGTTAGCCGCGAGACTGTTTATCTGTCTCACCTTCTGCGTTAATTCTCTACATTAATTGTCTTTCCTTGTAAGCATGGTCGAAAAATTGACTGCTTCTAACTTTAGGTCGGTTTACAGTTGATTCCTACTTGTGTTTTCCGATTCAAGAAATATTCGAGCAAGAATTTAACTTTTTGCAGCCTTCATTCACATACGCAGCCGTTGAACTAGCGCTCCGGGAAAAGTATTTTACTTTTAACAAAGTAAAAGTGATTCCGTTCTCACCACCACTGAACCTAACTTCCGTCCATCTAGTGTGTGGGTCTACGGTCACCTTCAGCACGAGTTGTGTCCTTTGATTCCTCACCTTAGCTTTTGAGTAGAGGTAAAGTGAACTTACCTTGTATTTTTATTCAATTTGTCCACTATTTTGGAATGCATTTTTAGTCCTATTTTGAAAGCTTGCTGTGCGTTTGGGTTCATTCCACTTCAAGTATTTGGTCGACATGTATCGTTATTTGCAAGTCCATCTTCTGCATGGCCGTGGTTCACGAGTTTACATGTTTTATCAATCTGCTAGGCGAAACATTATTAGTAAAATAGACTGGCGGCTGAATTTTCCATCACAAAATTGGGAGTGCCCGTTTTTAAATACAATTAGGATCTGAGGTAAATTCAACCTCAATATGTGCTCATCAGCATTGGGGCACTGTCCTG